GTATTAAAGTAATGTAGGAAATCACCTAGCCGGTCCGCCTTTTCAAATTTCAAAATGAAATATTGAATAATAAATGACAATTTTACGTTTTCACACATTTTGGGTAGAAAAATTCTCTGAAATTGATTTTGGCAAATTACTCTTTTGCTAGTTTTATCATTAAACCAGTAAGGGAACAAAACAATTTTCGGACTTAAAATGTGGTTCTGTGAACCAATTAAGAGAAACCATCTACATTACAGATCTCTTGTTTAAGATTTAGCTAAATTTTTCATACTGTCGCGATGTTAAGAAAACTATCTTTCAAAAAATTTCAACGCACCTCCATGAATATGATACGAGGGGCCGGGTAGGATGTAATATCTCCGGTGCCGTCTGATTAAACATGTACACAATTTAATTTGCCCATTGTTTTTTTTTATAAATTTTGTTTTGTAACAACTTTTGACCTGCCAGCGCGTTAATTTGAGCCAATGTAAGTGTCCTTGTAATAGATAATTTCTTTCACGTAACTGATCACGCCCATGGGTTAATTAAGTAAATAACAAATAACTTTTGCGCCAGTGCGAACTTTTTGAACCGTATTTAAATTATCAAACAATAATAATTACAATAATTATATATTACATACACATGCAGACATATTCTGGTTGTATTTGGCAAGGACATGTTGGTTGACTTGGTATTGTTGTATTTGCCACATTAAACACATAATAAACATTAACATTTTATTAACATCTCATTACAAAGTTTAACGTTCACAAACATGACTTACTCCTCTTTCGTCTGTCTGGCACACCCTCTAGTAAACACACGCGCACAAACACACACACACACCCACACACAAAAGCGTAGTCGGGAACAATATGAGAAACGCATAGCACGACAACAGGTAACTGCCAACAAAACAGTTCTACAGACGTTTGTTGCACATTTGCTTAAATCAGAGGATATTGTAAAATATGTTCACAACAAAACTTTTAATGAATTCAATTAACATAACGTCAATTGTTGTAAAGTAAGACATAACACATGCTGATGTTATGCCGTCGTAAATTGGGGGATTATAAAGTTATGGTGGTGCTAAAAGACAAATGACTTCTTTGAAGTGAAACAATTGGTGGCTTTAATCGTTTTATGTTTTCTGTTTTCATGAACATTGGCCTGTAGTAAGTAGTAATTTTTAAATCCTTAGGAAAGAAAAGGACGAACGGTATTATATGTTCGTCATTCATGATGAACACATATTTATTACAAGTCCTAACACCCTGCCCGTTCGTGACAGACAGCTTTCTCTTCTTAAGTGCAGAGGTTTCACAAAAGTTAGCTAATTTCTTGGATTTTGGACTGCAATACAAAAGGTGCCAATATAGGAATATGTTGTGCTGTTCTGTGCAATGGTAGTATACAGGGTGAGATGAAAAAAAACTTGAAACTTCAGGCTGCTGTCATTTCCAAGCCACTCGTCCGACAGCTGCTTAAAATTATTCCAGTGACAGCTCATTATATTGTTTGCAAGCGTACAAAAGCATTTGGTGAGAATTTTCATGATGAAATACAAGCGTAGTAATGTGATTATTTGGAAAACCACAAGTGGAGCACTCCAGCATTTAAATGTGAATAAATCTCTACCATCGCTCGTTACCGTGATACTGGTAGCGTAGCCCAACATCGAGGAAGTGGACGGAAAAAAATATCAACATCAGCAGAAATGGTTCCAAAAATAAAGAAGCGACTTGATCGAAACCCGCGTCGTAGTGGCCGAAAACTGGCTCGTGCAATATTCCCTTCGGCAAAAATTGAAAAATGAGATCGGGGTAAAGCCATTGAAATTCCAAAAAGTACAAGAACTTACACCGCAACAGAAAGAAAATAGACTAAAATGAGCTAAAGCTTGACCGAAAGTGGTGAACTGTCGAATTTGGTTTACTCCGATGAGAAAACATTCGTTGTCCATCAGTTTGTAAACAAACAAAATGATCATGTTTACTTGCCAAAGAGGTCAGCTGAAAACATACACCTTCGACTGGCCGACCATGGCGATGGAGTGGGCCGCCATAACAGCCGATGGTCGCAATCCGCTCGTATTAATCGACCTTGGCATCAGAATAAATGCCGAATATCGCGAAAATATTCTGGAGTTTGTATTAAAGCCTTGGGCACGCAAACATTTTTACCGCAGACCTTGGACATTCCAACATTACTCAGCACGCGCCACCCAAGAATGGTTACATAATGAGGTTCCTCGTTTCATTTCGAGCGCACAATGGCCACCAAAATCTCCGGATACCAATCCGTTGGACTATTCTGTGTCTGGAGTATTTTGGAAAGCAACGTTGACACTAAAAAAACCAAAGTGTTGATCACCTCAAGCAAGCGCTTCGCCAGGAATGAACCAAAATGCTGCAGAGCAAGATTCGGCAGCGTGTGACGGTTTTATTGGCCGTTTGAAGGCCATAATTCCAGCCAAAGGTGACCAATTCGAACAAATCTAAACTTATCCTAAAATTTGATGCTATTTCCGACATTTTTTGCTGTAACTCAATAAAATTAAAAAAGTAATAATTATGGCCTTTGTCATTGCTGCAGTTTTTTTTTTTATTTCACCCTGTATATACCTGTCAGCCAAGCCTATGTTGTTTCTTATAAATTTCAATTGGAATCTTTTCTATCTCATAACAAATCTTTGGAATGCATGAAAGTGTTAAATTAATATTATTATTTTTTCGGAAGTTTTATTCTTTGTTAAACATTAATCTCTTTTTTCAAAACCATTATAACAAAGGAAACAGTAGCGAGCTAAAATATTCTACAACATTATTTTTCATAAAATTCGACCTATACGTCAAAAGTCTAAATCTTACCTAAGCATTCATTCATAAAAATTAAGAACTCATTTTGTAATTAAAGGCATACTTCAGGTGATCTTATGTAAAATGTCATTTAAAAAAGATGACGTCGAAGTAAATTTAATTTTTCATCAATTTTTACTATAGCCTCTTAAATGTTTTTCCCTTGCATCAATATTTCCATTCTAAGCCAAAATTTTGCTTAAAACTTCATCCTTTGGGAAAAGTATCACAGGAAGAAGTATTCTACATCAAAATTTAATGTAAGTCCACGAACAACACAAATGTATCTTAATATCTTCCATTAGAAATTTATCATCAATCAATAAAAACATTTTTTGTATATTCGACAAATTTAGCACTTTTTTTCGAATTCACTAACAGCTAAAAATTCCAAGTGGATTTAATAGTACTCGGTTTGTAGATCGAACCCCCAAAAGACTTTTGGTACCTATGATAATGGAATTTTATGAAAAATCATTTTTTATAATATTCTGACCTTCTAAGATTCCGTTTTTCATATTTTAATAAAGGAACTTAAACAAGTAAAAAAACATTAAGTTCGGCCGGGCCAAACTTTTAATACCCTCCACCTTAGGGTAAAAGAAACATTAGAAGAAATGTGGCAAAAACCATTAAAATGCCGATTATGGGGAGGTACCCTTATATGGGGGCTATACCAAAACGTGGACCTATAATTACAATGTTTCGCCACCGGAGCTGGAACCCATTATGACCCACAAATACCAATTTTTAGACAAATCAGTGAAAAAACGTGGCAAAAACCATCAAAATACCGAATATCGGGAGGTACCGTTATATGGGGGCTATATCAAATCATGGACCCATGCATGCAATGTTTCGCCACCGAAGCTGGAACCAATTATGACCAACAAATACCAATTTTCGAACAAATCCCTGAAAAAAATGTGGCAAAAATCATCAAATTACCGAATATCGGGAGGTACCGTTATATGGGGGCTATACCAAAACGTGGACCTATAATTACAATGTTTCGCCACCGGAGCTGGAACCCATTATGACCAACAAATACCGATTTTCAGACAAATCCGTGAAAAAATGTGGTAAAAAAAACTAAAATACTAAATATCGGGAGGTACCTTTATATGGGGGCTATACCACAACGTGGACCTATACATGCAATGTTTTGCCACACGCTCAGGGACCCGCTATGATCTACAAATACCAATTTTAAGACAAATCCGTGAAAAAATGTGGCATAAGTCATCAAAATACCGAATATCGGGAGGTACCGTTATATGGGGACTATACCAGAACGTGGACCGATATATCTCATTTTCAATACCAACCATCCTAGACACAATGCAAATAGCTCTGCTAAATTTTGGAGCTCTACGTCAAATAATGTGGGCTGTATCGTGATTTCAACAGACAGACAGACAGACAGACGGACATCGTTAAATCGACTTAGAATGTTATGCTGATTATGAATATATATACTTTATGGGGTCTAAAACGAATATTTAGGGATGTTACAAACGGAATGACAAAGTTAATATACCCTCCTTTCCAAGGTGGAGGGTATAAAAAGGCGTCATGAGGTGGAAACTTCCTACTAAAATAATCTTCGTATTATTATCAATAATATTGATAAAGACACCACGTACCTAGAATGCCCTGTTGCCAAGAAATCTTAATTCGAAAATATCAACAGATTAGGAAAAGGGGACCATTTAGGTTAGTTTTCGATATAAGCTTTAAAAACATCGATACACATGTCGTTTATTTTTATACCCTCCACATCGAAAAGGAGAGTATATTCAACATTTAGCAGAACAATTTGTATCTTGTGTAGGATGGTTGGTATTGAAAATGATATGTATCGGTCCACGTTTAGGTATAACCGCCTTATGATGATTTTTGCCACATTTTTTTACAGATTTGTCTTTGTCTTTATTTGTAGGTCATAATGGGTTCTAGTAAGAATAATATAACAACCTTTAATCCACATCCATAATACCGAATGTTCTAATCTGATAAATACTTAGGAAGAATCGAGGAACTTATTATATTTTATATTTTGAAGTGATTATTCAAGAAAGCAGTCTAAGTTTTTAGCAGCATTCAGAGACATAGTTAAGGCTCTTGATTTTCGAAATTGATACATACCCACAATAATGATGAGATCTGAAACAAAATAAAATATGCATTTACCACATTCTTTTAACAAATATTGTAATTATTAGAACAACATAAAATATTATAATTTATATTAATTAAATAATTGATATTATTATTTTTGATATAAGTAGTAGTAGTAGTATTTCATCTAAATAAAATGATGGGTGTGGTTATTCCAAATAATAATATATATACATACACCATTCAACGTAAGTAAACTTTTCTTATTAACTGTGTTATAATAGCCTAAAAAGATTAACACCAACACTTACACATCCATTGTGCGGACTAGAGAAGAATGGGCATTTTTGTCTCAAGGCTATTGAAGAATCGCTTCAAATCGTTTGAAGTGTTCAGCCTATTTGCGGTCAATGTTTGCTTACCAATTCTAAGTGGATTTATTTGAGCCAATGAACACAACAACGAAACATAATTCACAGAATCCAGGCACTCGGAGAATAGCGAGCTGTGGTGATTGATGGTGCTTGCTGTGCAAAATAGAGCAAAAGGTAAAAGTGAATATCATAGGGTTGGTTGGTACTTTAGCAGCGAACATGATAATTTATCGAAGAAATCAATATTGAAAAGGAACGACGGGTAATAAGTAGGACAAGGGGTCCAATTATCGTTGAAACGCTGTCGTCAAGTGGTTATTGTGGATGCTCATTGCGTTTCCAAATCAATGGTAATTGCATACAACAACCGTTACGTATTTTATCTATCGCATTTCCACAATTACGCTCTGGTGCGCCGCTGTCATTGCCTGGCACGGTAATTGAATTTGTTTGCCATTTGGACAGACACGGAGTGGGTTGTGGGAACAGCAGGACCGTAAAATCCCAATGCCTACTTAAATCAATGAATAAAAAAGGGTTCTTCTTTTCGTTGAAAACATCAATTTTATGATTTCTTAGTTTGAAAATAATAAAGCTTTCGAATCCTGCTATTCTTCGTATTTGGTCGGGATATCATTCCTTTTTCGTTGTTTAGTTGATGTTTTAGATGAAGGGGTTGGGCAGCCCATAAAAGACACATCAGCATTTTTTGTTTATTTTAATACTTCGTTTGAGTTTTATTATTATATCGACGGAATGTTCGTTTTGTTTTGTTAGCAGCCATTTTATGCTTCTAATAGAAATATGGCCAACCGCACTTAGAATATTGTGGCCTAGCATAACCAAATCTCATAAAATGGGTAATACTTTACGATCCGATGTTGTGAACTTATTTTTAAGGTATGCTTACATGGAATTTGTTGTTTTTTTTTTATTGTATTTATATTATCGTTTTACTAGGTCGAGCATGACATGTGAGGATAAAAACAGCCTGACTATAAATATGTAGTAAATAAATTCTATGTATTTTTCACACATTTTATAATATTGTAAAAAGATAAAATTGATATTTTTACGCAATCGAAATTAAACAAATCTCAGGTCACCTAGAATTGTGTTATCATAGTAGTCATATATATTAGATACAAATTGACCTTTTCTCTTGTTATACCCTCCACCATAGTATGGAGGGTATATTAAGTTTGTCATTCCGTTTGTAACACCTCGAAATGTGTAGACCCCACAAAGTATAAATATTCTTGATTAGCATACAATTCTATGCCGATTTGTCCGTGTGTGGAAATCACTCTCGCTTCCGAACAAAATTAAGTAGGTTGATAAAATTTTACTCAAATGTGTGTGTTTGGTCATGTAGGACCACGTTTTGGTATGGCCCCCATATCCCTTTTTCGCTATGATGGTGATTTAAGCGACATTAATTACCGGAATTGTTTCAAATTAGGTGTTTGAAGTTCATAATGGATACTACAGTCTAAGATGGAAAATTGTCTGTGCAGGTCCACGGCTCCCGATATTCGGTATTTTGATGATTTTAGCGTCATTATTCTCAGAAATTGTTTCCAATTTGGTGTTTGAAGTCCGTATTGAATGCTACGGCCTAAAATAGAAAATTATCTGTGCAGGTCCCCGTCTTCGTATAATCCCCATATAAAGGTACCTCCCGAAATTCGGTATTTTGATGATTTTACCGACATTATCCACCGGAATTGTTTCAAATTTGGCATTTGAAGTTCGTACTGGATACTACAGCCTATAGCAGAAAATTGTCGGTGCAGGTCCACGTCTTCGTATAGCCCCAATATAACGGTACCTCCATATATTCGGTATTTTGATGATTTTAGCTACATTATTCACCGAATTTTTATTTGAAGTTTCGCATTTGAATATTGTAATGGCTTATGACAATAGTTGCCCATGTACGTCCACGTCGCCGTATGGATCTTAATATAACGGCTACATTCGGTAGTTCTAAGATTTTAACAGAATTTTTAACGGATTTTTTTTTTTTTGAAAATTATCAAATTCGTTCTAAATTGTGGAGGGTATTCAAAAATCGGTCCGACCAAACTTACAGCTTTGTTACTTGTTTTCATTGTAAAAAAAAACAATAACATTTAAGAACTTACAGTACAATAGCATAATAAAAGTATATAATTTTCACATGTGTGGAAAATATTGCTATATTAAAAGCTATATTAAATTTCTCAAAAAAAAAACCCAAATTTTAAATCATATGAATGTGACACTCGATCATCTTAAAAAAAAAAAACGGGATATTCCATTTATGTTCCCATTATTTAATTGTAAAATAAACACAAGACCTTCCAGCATGAATTATAAATTTTTTGTCATAGGAGTTATTTTGAAATAATTTCTGTGGAGAATATCCCAGACAAAATGCAAGTGAACTGATGAGGATTGGTGGCTCTTTCCGAAACCCAGGTATTCCCTTCCTTACCCCCTGTTAAACATTACCATCGTTCTACACTAATAAACAAACGTTGTTTTTTAAAAACAACAATAATGGGATTAATCCTAACTATTTTGCAATAACAATGTATACAATAGGTAGAGGCACACTAACCGAGCCATATTTTTGTACCTTCAGACTAGTATCATTTGATACAGCCAAAATGTGCCTTATAGTCTTTGAACGAAACTATCTGTCTGATTGGTTAGTGAATACAACAACTCACGAAGGGAGTATCCGATTTGGTTGAATCTTTTCATATTGTAATACATCCGTAGCGATGTGGGTCATAAATTGTAACAAAAGAGATAAAACATTTTGAATACTTATAACTTTAGCTAATTTATGAATGACTAAATATAAAATTGAGAAGTGTTCTGTTTGTTGTTGATGAGTTTGTTTCGCTTTCGTTTTCCACCTGAAATTTTAGATCATCAAATCCGATTTTGAAAAAACTTATGTTTTTTTTCATCTCAGTTAAAGCGTGTTAAAATACAAATCGCTCTGTGTCGGAAAAGTAGTGGTACGGGTTATACAGACTCAAACTGTTATACAACAAAAATGTGTATTCAATGATTCGGTTTGAGCTATAACCACAGGAATACAAAAAAAGTCTGTACGTTTGTATCAATGTTAAACAATACAATTGACTCAATTTTTAAAAGAATATTTTTAATAACTTAACTTAAATTGTTTATGTTGTACATTTTTCTTTCCCATTGATAATGATTCTATTTCAAGACAGAAAAAAATATAAACAATGCACATAATATTATATTTGTTTCACATCTCCCTCGACTTGTTGTGCAGTGGACACACTCTACGTCAATACCAATGCTATCAACTTATTTTCCTTTTTCTTAACTTTTAATAAAATATTACCAATTTTTTTTTTTGATTCTCTCATCGTTAAGAAGTATTCAATGACATTTTATTATTTGGCATTCCAACTCGCAATAGCGATTATATAAAATATTTTCGCTTTCATTGTAAATTGGGTTGTTGTGTCAAAACTAAGAACTTTTCTCTTACATTGCAACGTAACTGTAAACTATAGCCGCATTCAAAATACATGATTGCGTAGTTAAAAGTTTGTTCGTTAAGCTGAAAGCAACGACTAAAAATCGATTGAAACAAGTTTGGCGGTTCACATTTTTACAAAATAAAACTTGAAATCTGCCAAAAATTGCTCCGTATGAAAGAAGTAGCTAAAACTGTGCTTTAAGTGATTTGCAAGTGTTCGGCATTTCATTTTCGAACAATTGTATGTTGCATCAAAAATTTCCACAAAATCGAAGCCAAATCCTTGCGACACAAAGGGGAAGTTTGACAAAAACAAGCAAAGAATTGAAATGCCTCAAAGCACAAATTCGAATGGAATACAATGCAGACATATCCCATAGCTATGCACTTTTTCGCACACGTCTGCACATACAGACATACATATGTATCACAATGCATAAGTAAATCCACCTACCATAGAGTGATTCAAGAAATGTGATTTAACTCGGAATAAATGTCAGTTGGATGTCCGTAGGTATCTTACCGGGTTGTGTAGAGTATGAAAACTATTGCAGGGCTAAATGTGCATTGAGGGAAGCACTATTAGTTCATTAAATCTAGATTAATACTGATTCGGGGTCTTTGGATATGGACAACCTATTTCTTTGGATGTAGGTTTGGTTCTCTTTTCGTCCCGACTGGACCAAATGTAGAAGGGCGAAAAAGGAAGACAACCTTATGCTTCGATTCTCTATCCGGCTCGATTGAACCAAATGTAGAGATGAGATGAAAAGAAGAACCAAATGTATAAAGGCAAGAAGGGAAAGAACGACCCTATTCTTTGGATGTAGTTTCGTTTCTAGTTTTTATTTAAAAAATATTTTCCTTAAGCACTACAAAAACTAATATAACTTAATCTAACAGACATTATCGTATGCGGTACCGCTCAAGATTTTTAATTGTTAAATTTACCCAGCGCCTCGCCCGCGCTCAAAAGTATGCACAACGTATTTTGTACAGTAGCCATCCTAATACAAATCCTAGTAAAAATTCTCAATACCATCCTAATATCCGCTACAGTATAAATTCTTACAGATTCTCAGGATACTCACGTGCCCATCGCTTCGCACATGTATGTAACATATTCTAAATATCGTAGACTTTAGCGAGTCCTCATA